ATTACTCCTCTTCTTGTGAAATATCTTCGACCAGAGCGCCTGAGCCAATGGTTTCTTAAGGTTCCAAGGTTTTATGTGGCTAAGCCTCCCCATGGGGGTGAGGCGCCACTTGCTTTTTCCCTTGATTTTCAAACTGGAGCTCGCAGAGGAAAGAAGAGAATGGGTGAAGTCCTTTACCCAGTGGGTATTCCTTCTACGTTCATAGATTCCCTATGGTTCTTACTATGGTCCCTTGTTGACCACATGGGAGTTCTGATATGGGTGGAGTTCGATGCTGGATTTTTTGTAACAAGGACTTGGGCTGGGTTTTGCTCGTAGATGCTGGGTTATTGGTGTTCTCTTTTCCAGTGGCCCGCATGTTTTTGTCAAGCTGCTGGAAGTGGCCTATTTATTTTGGGCATTCTAATTAATTGTGGGTTTGTCTAAGTGCTACAACAATCTATGAGGTGTTCTCCTGAGGCATTGGACCCTATTTTCCCTCTCTCATGCTAACCCATGTATTTGGGCCCGGGGAATGGGCGTGAGTTTTAGTGCTCCCAAGTGGCCTAAAACTTCCATTCCTTGGTCCCTCAATAGGCCCTGTGAGTGCTCGTACCCATCCATGCCACAACCTGCTCAGCAAGCCTCGGGTAATTACGTGGCTTGGGCCCACTTAAGCATGTAGCATGGCTTGATGGCATCGCGTGTTTATTTGTCGCGCTTATGCTTGAGTTTTGTTGCACCATAATAAACCGAGATCGAATTAAATAGCACCGGATAGGTTCGTGAGCTTGAATTTATAAGGCCGTTGTATTTTGGCCCTTTCGTGCTTGCTTGGCATGATTCGTGACTCATGGCTTATGTAGGCGTGCCCTGCAATTCCTTTTCATGTCCCCATTGGGCTTTACTTGTAACTAATCATTTGTGCCAGGCTAAGAATAAGTTTGGGCCTAGCCCATGGATTTCTGGGCCTCAACACTCATAAATGTCCTTCGAGACATACAAGCATTTATTGCCATTGATCACACCCGATTACCTGTTAAACTCATTGTCATTGATTCCATTGCTGCATTGTTCATATCACAGTATCAGACAACACCGGCAGATTTGAAACGGCGGTCTGAAATGTTCTTCATTCAAATCACAGTATCAGACAACACCGGCAGATTTGAAACGGCGGTCTGAAATGTTCTTCAAGATACTTGGGACATTGAAGGCTTTAGCAAATAAATTTGGGTTGGCGGTGGTTATCACCAACCAAGTGGTGGATTTTATTGGGCCACATGATGGAGTGAATGGGGTGAGGTTGGGAAACTTGGAGTGCCTGCACACATCAGGCAGACGGGTGAGTGCAACTTTGGGACTGGCTTGGGCACATTGTATAAATTCAAGGGTGTTCTTAGCAAGACATCTGCAATCTGTTGGGGTTAACAGTCGTAATGCTCCTTCACCAACTATATCTACTCAAACGCATAGGACATTTGACCTTGTATTTGCCCTCCATTTGCCCCATGCATCGGCTGAATTTGTAATAAAAAAAGAAGGTGTAGTAGGAGTATCACGGTAACTGTGTAATAATGGAATTCTAAGAACTTTAATGTTTTTGATCCATTTGGAGTTACATTCCAGGCCCTTTAATTTCGTACTCACAGTTTACATTGCAATACCAATACCAATACAATAAATGTACAATATAATGACAATCTGAAGGCAATAAAATTACAATATGATAACGATATTGTCGCAATAAATAGGGAACACAGCATGTTGTATAGCAATGCAACCCAAATTTTGCAAATTTAACACAATTCACATTCAACAAACACGAAACCCACCACAAATAAAATTAAAGTTGACATTACCTAACAAAGCAACAGAAATCATATTGCCTAAGATACATTGCACAGTGGAATATTGTTTTTACAGGTGGTTTTATTGTGGCCTATGGAACCGCACCTTGAGCACTTTCTTGTAATGGTGCCCTCTCCTTGCGAGGGAATTCTTAGCTTCTTCTGTCTGCATGGCATGACCTTTGCCATGGGAGGCAGCACAACTCAACTTCGAACTTGTTCAGGAATAACCCACATTGTGTGAGGCTATATCGGGTAGACGTTATCCGAAGAAGCATCCAACCAGGTATTCCGAGTGTAATATTGAAAAGCCTTCAAGTATACATTTAGTTTCAAGAAGCGGCAAACTGCAACTACATGCTTGCAAGGTAGTTACTCAAGCTGAAACTTTCTACAACTACAACTGTTGCTCGTCAAATCCACGAGGCTGTCTATATCACCGCCCAAAACATTAAACTGTACGTTATTTAGTTTAACGACATTCATCCTTGCAGCATCCTCCAACCTATTCCTCAACTTCTTCTCGCCAAAATTGGGGCACAATGTTGTTGTGCAATTCATAGCCAACTCACGACGTTCGGTGAACCATTTCACAAGGAGATTAATAATTTCCCTTATCAAATGAACCACTAGCAGCATCCTTGCAAACCTAAGGACTGAGTTTATTGACATCGCAATATTTGTTGTCATTACATTGTATCGATGTCCATCCATATGAGCTCTAGACCACTTATGTAACCCTGCCTGTTCAAGATATTGAGCAACATGTTCCTTTCTCTTGATCTTCCGAAAATGACAATCAAACTCAGCAATGGAATAAGATTTCGCAGCCTGCTCAAAGTGCATAAGTATTTGATCACGCTTTTTCAACTTGCAAGTGCGTTTTATGTTCCCCTTCATATGATAAAAGCATATGCCATGTTGCGCTCTTGGAAAAACTTTGTTCCACACATTCTCTATGCTAACATTGCGATCAGAAATGATAACAAGATTTGGATACTCACCAATGGCTTCATGAAGTTTAGTGAAAACCAATGCCATGATGCATTCGTCTCCAAATCCCCGATCCCAAAAGCAAGAGGATATATATTTCGATTGCCATCGAATGCATTTTCTACAAACATAACACCATTGTACTTGGATTTTAAATGAGTGGTATCCACAGCTATCACTGGGCGCATGGAAGAACAAAACCCTCTAATACATACGCCAACTGCCATAAAAAGAACAAAACCCTCTAATACATGCGCCAACTGCCATAAATAAATACACAAAGTGATTGTTCTCATCAGTTTGGATGTGTACCTTTGTGCCGGGATTCATACGCTCCAATTCATAGCAACAGGCTGGAAGGATATAATAAGCCTCCTCGACTGATCCTCTAATGGACAATAGAGCTAACTCCCTTGCTTCCAAAGCTTTCGAATAATGGATGGTGAAACCAAAGTTGCATTTCACATCTCTCATTATGTCACTTGGTGTGTATATTGTCCGAGAATCCTTCAACTTCCTTTTAAATGAAGTGGCTACAAGTGTTGCGGTTGCTTGACGATGGTCGTCATGTACGAACCTCAAATCACATTCATGGACAGCTGTACACCTCACAATCATGAAGTTGTATTCTCCAATTCTCGATGCTCGGACCCGCCATGGGACAACAAACCACAAGCAACCTCTTAGTGCAAGAGAATTGCACCTTAAATTCCAAGTGGCCTCTCAATGCCGTCAACCGTAACTCGGTCAACAATGCTCCCTTACTAGAGAAAATTTGCCCAACTGTAATTTTCGAATTCCCATCACTTCGCGAATACCCTGTGTCCAAATATGCTTCTCCATCATTTACACCTGCCACATTGTACCGGTTCTATTCACCCATTTGACTCAAATCATGTTCACGAGTGGGTTCAGATTCTGTCCAATCACTTCGCGAATACCCTGTGTCCAAATATGCTTCTCCATCATTTACACCTGCCACATTGTACCGGTTCTATTCACCCATTTGACTCAAATCAAGTTCACGAGTGGGTTCAGATTCTCCTCCTAAATACATTATTGGCAATTGGGCAGATGTGTTCAAAGGGCCCAAAATAGGAGGGGCAGAGTACACTAACACTTCATTTCTTTCAGTACCATTATCACCACCATGCATCTCCTCCACCTCGCTAAAATCAATCACGTCCATAAAATCTGTCCCAACATCACCTCCCACATCAGCTACATTTGTATTATTTCGAGTTACTTCATTGCTTTCAACAATGGTAGCTGAAGAACGACCCATCTAACTACTATCTGTCGTGATATGCATACTATCAACTACATCATTTGTCAGTCCATTATCTTCTATACTCACGAGTAAGGGAGCTAGTTTTGAAGGTGTTACCTCACAATTGTACTTCATAAAAAATTTGGCATCATCATCGTCCTCAATCTTTATGTGCTTCCACTCATTCGAGGCCACCAAAACTGAGAACTTTAAGCAAACCTTGTTTTCCCTGCTGTTTGTATTACCAATCTGATGCACACGATTCAACAGTTCAGCAAATGTGATGGTCCATGGAACTATTAAGCCTTTTGAGTCACCCCCTTCGTATTTGCACATCTTCTTTGAGGTTACCCATTTTCCATTGTAGCAAACCAGAATAACAATTGTCTCCATTTCTGACCATGAAAAAAATTATTTCATTAACACAATACAACCACAATAACCAGGGAATACAATGGCAATATAACAGCAATATAACATCAATATAACACAATATAACGGCAATATAACAACAATACCACAACAAAATAACAGGAACACAACAACAATACAACACTAACACAGCAATGAACAAGGATTCATCACAATCACACTATACAAATCCACTACATCAAATGGAAAATCCGAAGTTTCAAGATTCACATATCCAAAGCAATCTAAATGCAATTGGTAAAAACCCATATGGATGAGCATGAAGATTCAAAAAAACCTTACCCAAAGCAATTACAGCCAAAACCAATTTAACAGAAACCCAAGCAATCAAAATCAAACCAATTTCATAGAATCCAACAGATATTAAGAAAATAACCATCAACACTACCTATTCGAGGTCGGCGATCTAGTAGAGCTTCAAGGTTGCAAGTAGCTATTTAGAAGACATACCTAAAATATGGGGTCGAGGGAGGGGTTCGTGATTCAGAACAGAGAACGAGACAAAGCTGCCTGAGAGAGAGAGAGAGAGAGAGAGAGAGAGAGAGAAAAGGGGGCTGAGCGAGCTGAGAGAGAACCAAATTTCTGAAAATGTGATATGTGTGCAATAAGTGGACAATAAATATATATTTATAGGTTATAGTTGTGAAAAAAATGGGGAGGGGTGGTATTTTCAGAAAAAATTATAAAATTGGTGACATTTTGAGCTATTTCCCTAATATATAACATAGATATAGGATTTAAATTACACAATATATATAGGATGACATCGTTTTGACGTCAAGGGAAAGAAAAAAATGAGGGAAAGAAAAAAAAGGAACCGCAAGCAACGCTGCGTGCTGGAGGATGCTGCACGCTGGGGAGGAGTAGCGCTGCGCTCTCTTTGGGGACTTTCGTCGAGTAGTTTGCAGGGGTCAATTTTCTCCTCTCTAATGGTAGATCCTAGAGTTGCAGGAGTCATTTGACCACCTTTGCTCCTCTGTGGATCCGTCTTTGATGAGATGTAAGAGAAATTAAACAGGATCTCCCCACAGTGTAATAGTTTGCTTAAATTGCTTGAATTAATGAAAAGAAAATTAAACTTTTTCGATTAGGACCAATTCCAGTAAGCTTTATTTGTTGAGTTGTTTTGTTGACTCCATGTATGCAATTACTAGTATTTTAGTATTTGCATGTAGATGCGCAGTATGACTTGACAATTTATATGCAATTGCTTAGGGTGGATCTGCAATTAGCAAGACTGCACGCATTAGCTCCCATAAAAAAATCTTTTCATATGATGACTTATTTCTCTTAGCGCACATAGTTAATTACATATGAAATGAACAGTTACATGGATGCAATAGATTTGAATATCTGATCTAGCTCCATCTAATAGAAAACAAGCCGTGTATAGCACTATTCCTATGGTTTGTTGTACCAGCTCGTTGTAGATATGGGGTAGCAATCCACAAAAATCATAACAAAAAAATTTAGATACTGAATCAAGCAATCTAGAAGGACTTGTATTTCTAACTGCTGTCTGGAACCCAATCAAGCAATTGATTAAAGGATTGGCTACTAAATCAATCATGATGATCTCAGAAATCCTAACACACCTTTCCACATCAAAAGCCTTTTCTTTTTCGTTTAGCACAAATTTTTCAAATGCCTTACAAGTTGAGGAATAATGATAATGATAGTGATGAAGATGATGATCGATCACACTCACCCTTCCTGCAACATAATAGAAACCACTATCTCTTGACTGGTGAGCAAGGTTTAGCCATTCCGTATACGGAACTTGCAGCCATGGATTATTCGTAGACTTGAGGTCCCGTAAAAGCAAACCCTATTACCTCAAAGCGAACTCTCCAAACAAAAAACCGGCTCACGAACCACTTAACTACCTGGCGATCAGAATTATTAGCTACTTAGGTCCATGAAAATCACCAATTCCAGCAAATCAACATTTAAAAAAAGTTAAAATTAGAAGCAATTCTGGAAATGAAGTTCTTGATAATCAACAAAAAAGAGATGATTTGCCTCAACATCGCCTACAATTGCAAAAGTGTAATTCACGTGCTCCTTAATAAGAAAGACATGAACAAGTCATCAGGTCATTCAATCTCAACTATTGATTTTTAAAATGAAATATGAGCCCTTAGATGATTGGCTGCACCGGTACCACCAATGTACCACAAAATTTTCAACATAACAAACCTCTCTCTTTGTGGTCCACATTCGTTTATTTTTTTGGTTCTATCTTTTGAACCAAATCTGGACACAATTGTTTTGTTCTCTCTCTCATTTTGTCTTTTTATTCTTTCATTCTCTCTTTCTTCTTTTTGATTTTTTCTCTCTCTGTTTTCAAATAGAACTCATGATAGTATCATCTAATGACTCAAATTCTTGGCCTGATTTTGGCTTGCGGTCATCTTTTAGTTGAGGTATGTAAATTTGGTCACACAAATCTGAATATGAATTTAATCCATGTTACCCAACCCCTTCAGAAGGACCCTATAATTATGGGGCCATGTAATCCATCTTAATGAAAGGATTACAATGAAAACAATATAAAAAAAATCATAGAAATAAGAGAATAATATTTCTAAAAGAAGAAACTAAGCAAAAAACCTAAACAACTTTTTGCCTGCATAATGAAAAATTTTCATCAAGAAATCATTACAGGCAAATTGGAATAGCAAGCACAAATAAGATGTTAAATATTATAATACGAGTATAAAAATAACCAAAAACAAACTAACAGAGTACAAAAAAAAAATACAAAAAACAAAAAAATACAAAAAAATACAAAAGAGCACTTACTAGAACTTAGAAGGACAAATTGAGTTGGAGGGTGCGGTGTTGATACAAGAAACAATTAAAATTATTTCAATTTTCACTAAAGTGAAAGTTGAGGGTACCACGTAAGAGCTGCCGGTGGAAAAAAACAAAACGAAGAGTTGCGCTGCGCGTGGGTTGTAGCTGTTGTCAATTAATAGGTATTAAAGCTGCAATCCGATGGATAGATCTGACGGTCCAACTTGAATGTTCGCACTTTAACAAAAATCCACATATCCTGATTTGAGAAAAACTCTATATTTATAGTCTTCTTCTATTGAGTGATTATTCAAATAATATTATTTGAGGGATACTATTTAGTATCTCCTACAAATTTTATTTCAACGATCCAAACAATCTATTTTTTAAGTCTACAGTCATAGATCATTCTTGTCAAAACTTAGACAAATCGGAAATCGTTTCGATATCCAATTGTGTCCTACAAAATCAATGAATACGATGCTTCAAGAAAGTACTAAAATTTCAATATTTCAATTCGGTGGTAAAATGATATCGTATTTAAGTG